GGTGGGGGTGTGGATAAGGGTTGGGGCAATCAGGGGACAGGTAGGGGGTAGAGTCCTAGGGGGCCAGTTAGGATGTGGGGAAGGTCTCAGGAGGGGGCAGTCAGGGGACAAGGAGCAGGGAGGCTTAGGTAGGGGGTGGAGTCCTGGGGGGCAGTTAGGGGCAGGGGTCCCAGGAGGGGGCAGTCGGGGACAAGGCATGGGGGGGGAGGGTTGGGGGTTCTGAGGGGGCAGGAAGTGGGAGGGAGTGGAAGGGGTAGGGGCGAGGCTAGGGCAGGATGGGGGCGGGGCTAGTGCGGGGCTCCTCCCGTCCTCTTTTTTGATTGTTGAAATATGGTAACCCTATATAAGACTGTCCTCCATAAATGAGGAAAAGTTGAGGTGCCTTTATTATTCTTTTGTTCCACTCTTTGTTTCTATGGGGAATTTGCCAATGCGATATCACTGTCTTCCTTTTAAACAAATAAAACTAAAAGAAAAAAAAGGCAATGGCTGTTGAAAATAGCAATTCCAGTCCTAATAACCACTGGGAAGCATTTCTTGCTCAATTTTATCCTACTTTTTCTACAGCAAGTTCCAGTGGATCAGTAGATTTGATTTGGGAGAAATGAAGTAACAGCTGCCCAAATTGAGCTTGAGCACTTCTGAATTTTGAGGTGTTCAAATCTGGAAGGCAGGTGCTGGATTCCCTTTCTGAATATTAGCTATATCTGGAAAGGAAATGTCAATTTCTGCTTCCATGGCTCAGAAGTGGAAATCCTCCTCTGTGCCTGGTACTGTATCTAAAGCTGCCCAGGTCCAGAGCCTCCCCTCCCTTACTTTTCATTTTAAATTCTAGTGGGATCCACATATCTCCCTTGCTAGGCTTCAGATAGAGAGGGGCACTGTCCATTTAGTCCACCCAATTCCTTCTTTGGGGGCTGCAAGGTGAGGTCCCACCAGTATCCCTAATCCAGGCTGGGGATGTCTTCTGAAGGGGATCTCTGGGGCAAAGCCTTCTACTCCTTGGGCACACTTGTTCCCGGTTCCCAGTGCCACCCCCTTCTAGCAATGAGCTCTCCATTCACAGCAAGCTGCAGCATGAGGTTTCAGCTACCATACTCCCTCCCCGTCCCATTCCTGTTAATTGCGGCCAAGGGAATGCTGGGAAATGTAGTTCTTTCCCTGCTCCCAGGCTGGGTCTATAGGCAGGGAGCTAACCAAGGAACTACAGCTCCCAGGGCCCCTGTTGGTTCTCAGCTCCCAGGCTGGACCCCTGCCGCCCCTGCAAATGGGCTGCCCCAAGCACGTGCTTGCTTTGCTGGTGCCTAGAGCCGGCCCTGGCCACACACCTCCGGGCTTTGGGTGATCGGACCCTTCTTCCCAGCGTCAGCCCCCGTCGGGCTAAGATCCCCCTCCCAGTCTGGCCTGCAAGGACCCTTGGCTGGGGGGGGTGTCTTTCTGCGCTGGGCCCTTTGCCCAGGGTCCCCCCTTGGCCCCAGTCGCTCAACACACCTGGCTCCGGCTCCACTCGGCCTCAGCACTTTGCTGCCAGCCCCCTGGCTCTGTGGCTGCAGCTCAGCTCCCAGCACAGGGTCTGCTCTCCCTGGGCGGCTTTTCTGGCCCCTCGGGCTGGCACGACCCAGCTCAGCTCGGGCCTCTGCTTCCGCCTTCGCTCCGCCCCACCCTGTCTGACACAGGAAATTCTAGCTCACACGGAGGACGGGACCTTTCTGATCCCCCTGACGTGCTGATTAGCTGCCCGCCCTGTCAATCAGGCTGATCTGGAGCATTGGCCTCTCCCCATTGGTCCTGGGGACTGTCAGTCTCAGGGTGCTGTTTTTCCATCATCCCTTCCCCTTTCTTTTGGTGCTGGGAGCTAGTCACCCCCCCCCCCAGTGTTAGTGAGGGGACAACAGCCCCCGCCCCATAGCAGCCCCCGCAACCAGCCCCCACAGACCCGCGGGCAAACGAGCTGGGAGCGAAACTGGATCCGTGGGGACCAGGCCGGGGAGACAGGACGGAGCCAGCCCGGTGCCCCTCCCCCGCCCTGCAGATAAACCCCCGGCGCCCGGCAGGACACAGCGAGGAAAGGGTTAACGCCGATCCCGGCAGGTTTGCGGGGCGGGACACGCACCTACAGCTCCAGCTCCAGCCCTGTCCCGGTCTGGCCTCGCAGCTCGGGACAGGATGATGGAAAAACAGCACCCTGAGACTGACAGTCCCCAGGACCAATGGGGAGAGGCCAATGCTCCAGATCAGCCTGATTGACAGGGCGGCCAGCTAATCAGCACGTCAGGGGATCAGAAAGGTCCCGTCCTCCGTGTGAGCTGGAATTTCCTGTTTCAGACAGGGTGGGGCGGAGCGAAAGCGGAAGCAGGGGCCCGAGCTGAGCTGGGTCGAGCCAGCCCGAGGGGCCAGAAAAGCCGCCCAGGAAGCAGGTGAGAGCTGGGAGCAGAGTCACAGAGCCAGAGGCGCAGCTCAGGGGGCTGGGGGCGGAGCAGCAGCAGCATCAGTGCTGAGGCCGAGTGGAGCCGGAGCCGGGTGTGTTGAGCGACTGGGGCCTAGGGGGGACCCTGGGCAAAGGGCCCAGCGCAGAACCTCCCCCCCCCCCAGCCAAGGGTCCTTGCAGGCCAGCCGGGGAGGGGGATCTTAACTCGACGGGGGCTGACACTGGGAAGAAGGGTCCGATCACCCAAAGCCCGGAGGCGTGTGGCCACCGCCAGAGCAAGTGTCCAACCCGCAGCGTCTCTGCAGCACAGCCGGGCCCTGAGAAGGAGCCGTCCCATTCAATTGACAGCAGGGTACCAAGGGAGGGAAAAAGAACAAGAGTACTTGTGGCACCTTAAATCACTTTTGTAGTGGTAATGAGAGTGGCCCATTACACACAGTTGACAAGAAGGTGTGAGTAACAGTAGGGGGAAATTAGGTTTAGGTTTTGTAATGACCCAACCACTCCCAGTCTTTATTCAGGCCTAATCTGATGGTGTCCAGTTTGCAAATGAATTCCAGTTCTTTATTTTCCCTCCCTTGGTATCCTGCTGTCAATTGAATGGTCTTGTTAGACTGCCCTCACACATGGTAAGGCAAATCACATCTTTTCATGTATTATACCTGCTCCTGTATTGTCCACTCCATGCAGCTGAGGAAGTGGGGTCTAGCCCACAAAAGCTTATGCCCAAATAAATGTGTTAGTCTCTAAGAGGTGCCACAAGGACACCTCATTGTTTTTGCTGATACAGACTAACACGGCCACCACTACCTGACGTTCCAGAGACACTGTTTGTGATGTTCCCTGTCACAGAGTGGGGTGATGTTTTCCTTTAACCTCTCCCGTGTTTCCTTATTCTTTTTTAAATTAATTGCTGACTAAATAAACTGTATTTTCTTTAAATTGTATGTAATGATCAGTGGGTCAGGGAAGTGTCCGGTGCAGAGAGAGCACCCTGGAGTGGGGACACCCTAGCCCCTGTCCCAGGTGACCACAGCAGGGTTGGGGGTCGAGCCCCCCAGGAATCCTGGGCCCAGCCTTGTTGGGGTTACGAGGATCCTTCCACTAGCCTATTTCACCGGGGTCGTGCAGAAGCCAGGAAAGTTCCCCACAACAGCGGGACCATGGCCCTGCTTATATGTGGGGCAGGGGATGCTGCGGACAGGGACAGTGATGCCCTGGGCAGGCCCCAGTGAACAGCCTGGGATGTGTCCCCACCTGGCTTTGCAGGGCAGTCTGATCTCTGCACCCCACTGCAGCGCCGTGGGGTTTGCCCTGGGGTCAGACCCTCGGTGCCGGCTCCGTTTGGTACCTTTGCTGGGGCCGCCTGGTGCCCGGAGCTGCCGGATTCACTCTCTGGCTCCTGCTCTGTTGGGCTGGCGCTGTCTGTCCCGGCAGGTGAGTCCCTCCTGCAACCCCCCGGGCAGCGGCTGCTGCTTCTCTCCCTCCCACAGCAGATACAGACACTGGAGCAGGGCCGGCTCTAGGCACCATTAAAGCAAGCAGTTGCTTGGGGCGGCAGATTTGCAAGGGGCGCAAGAATCCAGTATGGGAGCTGAGAACCAAGAGGGGCCCCTGGGAGCTGTAGTTCCTTGGTTAGCTCCCTGCCTATAGACCCCGCCCTGGAGCAGTGAAAGAACTACATTTCCCAGCATTCCCTTGGGCACTAGCAACAGGAAAGGGTGGGGGAAGGAGTAGGGAACTGAAATCTGCAGCTTGCTGCGAATGGTAGGAACAGAGCCAGCTCTAGGTGTTTTGCCGCCCCCCCCCCTGTATTGCCCCA